TCCCCCGAGATCCGGGCGTGGCAGTTTGTTTCACGCCGGGCGTCTTCGCCCAGCGCCGGGCCCCGCGGGACCATCACGCAGGGCGATCCGGCTCGACAAGTGCCGCAGGGGATGGCCTCTCGGGCTCCAGCCGTGATTTTGCGCGATGTTGCATGTTTGCGCCGCGTCGCATCTCCGGGTATCCAGGGGCTCCCATCGCCCATATCTCCGAGGAGGCCGCCGCGGCGCGATGCGTGTAGCATGCCCGCCCCTGGGTTGTATCCGCCCCGTTGGCCTCACACCAGCGTGAGGTGTGGAGACGGTGGCGGGGGCGGAGGCGGCGGCATGGGGAATGGGGCGCGGGGGATGTCACAGGGCAGCCAGGGGAGAGGGGGGCGGATGAGGAAAGGAGGGCGGAGAGGAGGGAGAGCGGGAGAGAGGGAGGAGAAGGGAGGGAGCAGGAGGAGGGAGGAGGGGGCAGGAGGAAAAGGGAGGAGGGGACAGGAGGGATGATGGAGAAGGATGAGTAGTACAAGTCAGGTCTACATACCCGAGTCTTGCCCCGTGGCTGCTTTCCCTCTCACCTCGAGCGTGAATCCGTTCTGGCTCTCGCCACCCACCAACGGCATAGCGCCGCTGTGGTTTCACTCATTGCTGTGTTCCGCTGGACTGGGCACGTTGGTAGTCGTGCTTGCCATTATCATTGTGTCGTTGTTAGGCGACGTTGTTGTTATCCGCGGAACAGATGTACCGTACAGGAGGGACTATACCTTTCAGGATTGGTGAGCACCTTCGTGTGGAGATAGTCTGCCCCGACTGCTGCAGGGCCACCTTTCTGATAGCAGAACGAATGAAATGCGACAGGGATAATGTCGGGGAGGCGCAAGACTCGGGTTTGCTGGAACTCATGGTTTCCGCCGCTTTTACAGGGTTCCGTTGTGAATTTACTTTGGCGTTCGAGTCTCCGCGAGATAGTGGGAGCTCGCGCCAACTTTCAGACTAGGCCCCGTCATTTTTCTGACAGCCCCGCCAGGCAAAATCGACTCCCCACCGCCGCTGCCCCGTCTGCCACCGGGCTTTATTTTTCGTCGTGCCAGCCCGGAATGACGATGGGTGGCAAAATTTATGCGGTGACTCTTGGGTTCCCCTTTCTGCAAGGTGCCGTTTCGGAGCCCGCAAAGCGCACATGCCCCCCCCCCAGTGGGACACCCGCAACGTACGATGTTCGTTGGCTCGTGTGCAAAGCAGGCGTGTCGTGTTAATCTGCCTTCTTCTATGCCAAGTACTCCGCCGTCATCCGCTCTCCCCCCTGGCACCCGACGTCGTGAGAAACGACACGGTGTCATCAGCGATCATAGCTGGAGCCGTCGGCACGACCTCTTGTGCGGGATGCTTCGAGCGGGATCGATTCTCGAGGGTCCTTGGGGGCCGAAGTTGGGCGACGCGTGAGTTTTTCGCGACGCCCGGATGTCGAGGGTCCTCCCTTCTGTCGTTTGGTCTCCCTCTCCGGCCTCCTCTGCTGATGGAGGGGGAGAGAGCGCCCCACTCCCAGCCTAAGTGGACTCGCCCCGGTGGGATCCTCAGTGACGGCGCACTGCAGGGATTCCTGGCGACGGTGGCGTGCTCCCTCCAGGTGGAACGAAGACTTTAGGATTGCATGATGTGTTCGTCTTTTGCGATGCCACAGGAAAGGCGTCCTCCGCCTAAGCAAAATCATACACTATGCCCAACAGCCCAGGGGATTGGGCGAGAGTCCTAGCCGTGGGTTTGGTATTCGAAATTCCTCCCTGGGGCGCGGCTTTCCTATACCGAACGTGGCCCCGTGCGGTGGACTCTGATTTGGGCGGGGAGGGCCTGGTATACACAGACAGATGTCGAGGAAGAGGGCAGGATCGTCGTCAAGTCTGGGGCCAGAGCGCAGGGAGGGATGTCCCAGCTGCAGGCGCCGCGGCCGTGCCGGAGGCGGCTCCCGGGGGGCCCGGGGAGCCGTCGGCGGCGGACATCCGGGAGAATTTCGAGAGGGTGGCGCTGCTCTTCGCCCTCAACCACGGGGTCCGTCGCCGCGCAGGGCAGCAGGGGGTGGGAGGGGAGGGGGAGGGGGAGGGAGGAGGGAAGGTTGGCGTGGAGGTTCTAGGGCTCCAATTGGGGTCTGGGTAGATGGGGTCGGAGGATAACGCCATGTCGCCGATGCATCGGCGATGCGGTTAGATGTTGAGCCCGATTTTCTTCAGGCTGGCGTCGCCGATGCACTGCCGACGTTGCCGATGCATCGCCGATGCATCGGCGATTCATCGGCGACACATTGGCGATGCCGCGCGATCCTCTGAGGGGGATCGGGGGCGGCCAAGAGGGGGATGATTCTTAGGGGGTGGATCTCATGACCATGCAGGGCCATGGGTTCTCCTCAGGTCTCTTGGCGCCTCTTCTTGTCTCAATGTGTCCCCTCAGTAGTCGTTCTGGGTCGACCAAGAGCCGGCCACCGAGAGCGAGTGACCAATAGCTGCGAAACTATGTACACTTACACGCACGGCTATCTCGAAGGGGGGCGGACGCGATTTATATTTTCTGGGGACGGCGATTTTCCCATAGCATCCATGTGTCGTGAACGGCAAGATGGGCGCACGATTCAACTAATATTTCCATCAACTGGCAGAGGTTCAATCAACATTCATACGAAAACGTGCGCTCTTTACAAGCAGAACTTCGAGAGCAAGAGTTGGCAGGGACACTTCGACGTAGCAGGCAGGGAGTTCGATATTCTTCAGAGCGTGAATTACCTACCCCGCTTTCGCTTCCAGACAAAACCAAGTCATACCACGCGCCTCCTGGTTAAGCGACCTGACTGGTGCGGGTCGTGGCCTGGTATCGTTTGGTGTCTTTTGGAAGCGAGGGTGGTCAAAAGCGAGGTAGGTTCGTTTGCCTCATAGTTCTGGAGGGGACAAATCTGGGTGACCCTGTCAGTTCTCTAATCTTCAACGGTGTCCGACTGTTTCGACTGTTCCGTGACGACGGCGACGACGTCAACGGCAGTGACGACGTCGACGACAACGACGACCACGTTGACGACGACGCCATTGCTGGCTGCCCAGAGCCGAGGTCGTCACCACGCCCCTGGGGGTGGCGTCTTCGCTGCTGGCGCCAGAGGCGGGGATTCTCCTCGTCGTCGTCGCTGTGATCGTCGTCCTGCTCTTATCCTTCTGCCTCATGTCAAGTTTATCACCGGTAGGCAGGGTCTTAGTGACGATGCTGAATGCGAAGATTATTGTTAAGTGGAGGCATGACAACACATGGTTCCAGCTCAGGGCAACCATGCTAGATACCCCTCTGGGTGGCGTGCACACGTCAAAACCAATGGTTCCAGTTGGGGGCAACCATGTAAGAAACTCCTTTGCGCGGCCTAGACATGCAATTACAAGTGGTTCCAGCTCGGGATAACCGTGCCAGATACCCCACTTGGTCGCCTGGACACGTAACACACACTTGGTTCCAGATCGGGGCAACCATGGTAGGTATCCCTTTTGGGTGGTACACGTGACTCCAGCTCAGGGCAATTTGGTGGCCTGGACACATGCAAACACGTGCAAAGTGCACGGGCGCTGGGCGCGTGTTAGATACCTCCTCCAGGCATGCACTTCTACTTGCGAAGAGCCTGAGGACCTCATATTCGAGACCCGTTTTGGCGAGCGTTTACCTCGAGACATCCTCAACCCATCCTCATGTGAGGCATCCGCCTGGGCGACCTCGGCGCGTGAGCACAAGCGTTTCGATATATACATCCTCAACACATCCTGCAGAACGAGCGTTTCGCTCGACGAGACATCCGCAACAAACGAAACATCCCACTTCACGTTGTTCCCAATCCTCCTCTGTTGGGTTCTCGTTTTGAATAGAGCATTGTGGCATGCACTCTTCCTCCTCCTCCTCCTCCTCCTCCTCCTCCTCCTCCTCCTCCTCCTCCCTCCTCCTGCGCTACTCTGTGGGAGGCTGTGAACTACGCAGCCATCGCCATTTTCTGGGCTGCTGGGAGGTCCAGCGGAGTGGGGGGCCACGCTGACCCAGTTGAGACTTCGCTGCTCCCTGGGAGGCTGCGAACTGCGCAACCGTCGCCACGTTCATAGGCTCATGGGAAGTCCAGTGGAGTCGGGGGCCACGCGGATCCATTTGGGACTTCGCGGCTCCCTGCAAGTTTCGCGGGCTGCTGGGAGGTCCAGCGGAGTCGGGGGCCACGCAGATCCATTTAGGACCTCGTTGCTCCCTGGGTGGCTGCATCGATGCGCCGTCGAGGCGCCTGGCTCTTGCTTGATTGCTTGCTGGGAGGTCCAGCGGATTGGAGGGCCACAAGCCGATACCTCGCGGCTCCCTGGGGGGCTGCCAACTGCGCAACCGTCGCCATTTTCGTTGGCTCCTGGGCGGCGCAGCGGAGGTGAGGGCAGCGTAGATCCATTTGAGACCTCGCGGCTCCCTCGGGGGCTGTGAAGTTAGGGGGCCACATGCGAACCCTACCCCTACCCCCCACGATTTCTGGGGGGAGGGTGGGGTTCACTTCGCTCCCCCTCAGAAATCGTGGGGGGTAGGGGTAGGGTTTGCATGCGCCCCCCTAGAAGTGTGCAGCGGTCGCCATTTCGCATGCTCCTGGGAGGCACGGCGGAAATTCTGGCAGCGCAGATCGCCATGTCAGGCGATGTGTTTTTTTGGTCTGGAGCGTTCATACAAACATTCGCCTCGCGTGGAGAAGGGGTTTGGCACGTCTCGGGTAACTATTTGTCGCGCAGGCTTTCAAACACCAGCGTTTCGCTTGAGACATCCTCGTACATTCATCCTCCTATCCTCTTCGACTTCGTTATTTATAGAAGAATCCGCCGACCCTCTTCGAAGGTGGCACAGGGGGCTGTTCATACATTGGAAAGAGTCCTGGGCCGAGCCCTATCCGGAAACATGATCGACCCACGAACCCGAAAAGGAATACAGAAAAGTAAGGCATTGCAGCGTATCCAAGACAGTTGATTGGGCGACGGTGAAATGCAATGCTGAGTGTATCGATCTTGATGTACCGTGCCGAGGGCTGTGCTTTGCTGCGCCGTGCAGAATTGCACTGTGCCATGCCGCGATTGTGCTCCATAGCGTTGTGGATCGGGTCCTCCTTTGCATCCGAGTCCTGACCGAACTGATCTGGATCTTAAGCTCGAGCTGCGTGAGCACATAGTAGCTGCCTCAGAGCTAATTGACAGGGGGACATACCAGGAGGACGCGCCGCGGAACGTCCCAAGGGACGCGCCAGGCGACGTGCCAGGGGACGTGCCATGGGGACGCACCGCGGGACGGGCCAAGGGGACGCGCTACGGAACGTGCCAATGGACGTGTCACGGGACGTGCCAGGGGACGCGCCGCGCGACGTGCCAGGGGGACTCGCCACGGGACGCGCCACGGAACGTGCCAGGGAACGTGCCAGGTTGCAATGCTAAGTGTATCGATTTTGATGCACTGTGCCGAGGGCTGCGCTGTGCTGCGCCGTGCTGAATGGTGATGTGCCATGCCGCGACTGCGCTCTACAGCGTTGTGGCTCGGGTCCTCCTTTGCACCCGAGTCCTGACCGAATTGATCCGGATCTTAAGCTCGAGCTGCGTGAGCACATAGTAGCTGCCCCAGAGCTAATTGACAGGGGGACATACCAGGAGGACGCGCCGCGGAACGTCCCAAGGGACGCGCCAGGCGACGTGCCAGGGGACGTGCCATGGGGACGCACCGCGGGACGTGCCAGGGGGACGCGCTTCAGAACGTGCCTATGGACGTGCCGCGGGACGTGCCAGGGGACCATCCGCGCGACGTGCCAGGGGGACTCGCCACGGGACGCGCCACGGAACGTGCCAGGGAACGTGCCAGGTTGCAATGTCGAGTGTATCGATTTTGATGTACCTACCGTTGCGAGGGCTGCGCTGTGCCTGGCGACCTGGACACGTGACAACAAGAGTTTCGCTCAAGGCATTCTCAACCCATCCTCATGCTAGACATCCGCCTGGGCAACCTGGACACGTGCAAACAAGCGTCTCGATCGAGACTTCCTCAACCCATCCTCATGATAGACATCCGCCTGGGCGACCTGAACGCGTGAAACTAAGCGTCTCGCTTGAGACATCCTCAACAAATCCTCATGCTAGACATCTGCCTGGGTAACCTGGATGCGTGAAACCAAGCATCTCTCTCGAGACATCATCAAGACCTGGGCACGTGAAAACAAACATGTTACTTGAGAGGTCCTCTGAATTCTGGCCCCCAGGAGAGCACAACATATAATACAAAACAAGCGTTTCGCTCGAGAAATCCTTAACCATTTCTGCAAAACAAGTGTTTCGCTCGGGACATCCTCAATTTTTAATTCGCCGGCCCACCTCGACCTCGTTGTCTATCGCTGATTCAATTCACCGGCCCACCTCAAGTCGATTCCGGGGGAGAACCCCTAAAAGAGAACCCTGGGCCGATGCCCTTTCCGGGAAAAAACAAAATGGGGTAGGAGGTATCAGCATCGAGGGTTCCAAAAGGGCCGCGTGTGCAAGGGATCGGAAGGTTGACACCTCGCCCTCGGCGAAAGGCCGACGGAAGCCAGCAAAGGTGAAACCAGGACGGCTCCGCCAGCGGAAGTCCGGCAGACGTACAAAGGCAGATGCCATTCGGGTGTTGCTAGAAGTACCCCTGGCCCAAGGTACCCCCAGGATTCTCGGGGTGGCCCAGACGGCCTCCAGGGCACCCCCAGGAAAGCTGGGGAGGACATCTTTGGCGCCCCAAGGCTTTCCTGAAGCGCCCAAATATGGCCAGAGGAATGGGCCCCCTCAGCCGCACCGCGCTGCCGATACGGCACGATCTGGAACCCGATCCTGGCACCGCCGATGCATCGGCGAGTCTGGGGACACGTTTCGATTGGTGCCGCTGTGGCACTCTCCAGAGGAGGGCCTCCTCGTCCGGGGTTGCTGCGCCCTGCTTGCCGTCCCTCCTCCCGGCCCTGCTGCCTCCTCCCTCGCTCGCTGTCCTGCTCCTCTCCGTGCTGCTCTCGGCTCTTCCCCTCTCCTCTTTGCCGTTTGCTCCCACCTCCCCCTGCTCGTGCTGCTGCTGTCCACGCGTGGCGCTCAGTTTTTCCGGCTGGCTGCCCAGGCCTTCTGGTGTGCACCACGACGCCTGTGGTCTGGGCTTCGCCGCGCTGCGGGACAGAACAACCATTCTCGCCCACGGCGTGCGTGGGGCAGTCCCGCCCTCCCGCCCTCGGCGGGGCCCATCGCAGGAGGGCCCGCGGTGGCCTGCCGCGGCCTGCGGCGGCAGAGTCGGGGAGGCGTCACAGGCGCAGGGGGGTGGAATTTCGGAGCCTGCTGGAGCGAGTCGGCGGCGTGCCCAGGGGGGGGTGGAGTGAAGGACACTTTCGGAGGGCCAGATGCCTTCCGAGCCTTCTTCTGAGAAGGCCGCCCCCCTCTCACCGCCCCCCCTGGGCGCGCAGCCGAGTGAGGTCGTGCTCCCGAGGAGAGATCCGCGCTGCTGACCTGCAGAACATCGGCCTGCGTGTCAGAGCGGACCCCTCCGCCGCAGCAGGGCCACGACGCGGCCTGCCACCCCGGATGCCGCGCGGATCAGGGGGCGAGTTGCAAGCTTAGCGCTCACACGTGCTGCATCCTGTTCCACATCCTCTGCTTCTGCGTTGCCAATGCTTTACGTTATGGATTCCCCCATGCGCGGACAGCGGCCAGGCATATCTGCATACATGGTTTGTTGTTTAGAGCAATTGTGGATTAATGGGTGGCCTCGACATGTTTCCAATACTCTTGCACTCTTGGCACGGTGGATGGTGTATCAGGCTGAGCTGCGATAGTTGTTTCGAGGGATTACTGAACAGGGAGCAGTAGGATTGTCAACCGCGGTATTGTAAACCAGATCGCGACGCAGCACAGCATAGTACCATGCTTAGTACTTCAATGTTTGCAGCATCTGTTAGACGGAGCGAACAGATCTAGGAAAGGTCAGATTGACGATCGCCATACAATCGTAAGTTATGGTTCGCGCTTTTTGGCGGATGTGCAGCGATCCCTCTGAGAGTGATCTCCCAGACACCCGACGTCGTAAAGAACAACTTCGTGGGAGCATCTCACGACTTGCGCTCTCGGCCTCACCCCTGTCCTCGTTTCTTCGAGCCATGTCGATCCATAAGGATCTGGGGGTCGAAAAGGACTGAAACAAGACCGTCGCACGTTTTTCGCACGACCCCCGGCGAGTGTCAGGGTGCACGCGAACCCCGCGCTGGCTGATGCCTCTCCGTCTCGCCTCCGCCCCGTGATGCGCGTGGAGCTGCGCGGCATCGCTGGCCAGGTACTGGAGGCGGAGGTGGGGGCCGAGTGCAGCGTGGCCAGCGTGAAGGACATCGTGGCCGGCAGCTGGCACATCCATCCCAGGTGCCTGAGGCTGCTGCTGGGCGCCTCGGAGCTGTGCGACGGGGAGCTGCTGCTGCCGCGCGTCCTGGCCGAGGGGGGTGCGCCCCCCCCGCCCGTGATGGTGCTGCTGTCGCTGGACCGGGTGTGCGCCGATCTCCTGGACGGTGGGCGCGAGGCCAGGCTGTCCGCGCTCCGCATCCTCGCCGGCACGGGCCGGCGCTGCGGGGAGGAGGCGGTGGCCGCAGCGGCGGCGTGTTTGGAGGACGCCGACGACGAGGTCCGGCGCTCCGCGGTGGACTCGCTGATCGCGGTCGCCGAGAGGGGCAACAGGCAGGCCATCGAGGCGGTGATCGGTCGCCTCGGGCACAGGGGCAGCGGCGTGCGGCTGGCTGCCCTGGCGGCGCTCACGGCCCTCGCCTGCCGCGGGGACGCGCGGGCTGTCGGCGCTGCCGCTGGGCGCTTGCGGGACGGTGACGCGGGCGTGGCGCTGGCGGCCGCGGCGATGCTCTCCAGGCTGGCGGTGCAGGGCGACGCTGCTGCCATCGCCGAGCTCGCAGCTTGCCTGGACCACCCCCTGGACGAGGTGTCGCGGGAAGCCATGGACACGCTGGCGCGGGTTGCAAGGGGGGGCGACAGGCGGCCCATCAGCGCGTCTGCGGCCCGGCTGGACCCGGGCCTCGACGGCACAAATCGGGGCGCCCTGCGGCTCCTGGTGCGCCTGGCCAGCGGCGACGACGACTCTGTGGACAGAGTCGTGTCTGAGGTGGTCGAGTGCCTGGACACGCACGACTACGGCCAGCGGTTCGTCGCCATGTCCGCGCTCAAGGAGCTGGCAAGGAGGGCATGCGGTTGTCAGAGCGCAGCCGCGACTCGTCGCACCGAGCGGCTGCTGACGAGAAAGCAGCTTGAAGGCCCGCGTGCGAACCATTATCAAAACGGCACGGTACCATCGGTGGTAGGCGTACAGGGATGTTGGGAAGGGATCCGTTCGGTCAGGCCAGATCGCCCGCAGGTGCGCGGAGATCCGCCCTCTGGGCCGATTGGCTGTCCTTCTCCAGGGGGGTGGCGCGGGAGCGCGAAGAGCGTCGCGCCCCGCGCAGCGCACGGCGGCGCGATCCGCGAGGTGAGCTGACCCCTCCCCCGTATGCTCTGCTGCCGCCGCGATCCCTCCACATGACGCTGCGCCCGTGCTCCCAGGGTGACAACCCCTAGCAAAATTACGCTGCGGCCCGCACTCCCAGGGCCAGGATCTTCTGTGAATTACGCTGCGTCCGCGCTGCCAGCACCACGATCCCTCTTAAATCATGCTGCGTCCGCACAACCAGGGCCAGGATCCTGTGTAAATCACGCTGGCTTCGCGATCCCTGGTAGATTACGCTATGTGACGCTATGTACTCCAACAACGGCGTCCTCCTTGTCGTCGCCGTCGCCATTGCCGCCGCCGCCGTCGCCGTTGCCGTCGTCGTCGTCGTCGTCGTCGTCGTCGTCGTCGTCGTCGAACCTGGAGGTGGCGAACACCGGCAACGGCGTCCTCTTCTCCGCCACGCTGCTGTCCTCTCTGCTGCTTGGGGCGCCGGTGGTCGGCGGCTTCGGGGCCAAGCAAGGGCTGCTAGCAGGCCGCCAGCCAGTCGGCGGCACCGGCAGATGCGACGACGGCGGCGTCGACAACGGTGATGGGGGCGACCTTCCTCCTCATCCTCCTCATCCTCTTCCTCCTCGTCCTCCTCCTCCTCATTCCCTCTCCTCCTCCTCCTCCTCCTCCTCCTCCTCCTCGTCCTCCTACTTCTCATCCTCTTTCCCCTCCCACTCATCCCTCTCTTTCCTGCTTACTTCTTCATTTGCATTGCTCGTTTCCTTGTATCTCCTCCTCCTTCTTCTCGTGTTCCTTCTCCCGCGTGTTCACTCATGACTGCTGCGGGCCCTCCCCCCTCCTCCTCCTTGGTCGGGTGGCGTGTGGCGCTCCTCCTCCTCCTCCTCCTCCTCCCGCACGTGGAGGGAGGGAGAGGAGGAAGAGGAGGTGGAGGAGGAGGAGGAGAAGGACAATAGGGATGAGGAGGTGGGGGAGGAGGATAGGAGGAGGAGAAAAGGGAGGAGGAGGATGCTGAAAGGATGGGCAGGGAGGAGGAACGAGAGGTATGAGTACGGGGATGACGAGATGATGAGAACACATAGGAGTGGGGCAAGGCTGATTATGATCACGGCGATGAAGATGCAGATGAGGATGAAGATGACGACGATGATGATGGTGTTACTGCTGATGATGATGATGATGATGATGCTGATTATGTCGATGATGATGCTGATGATGATGGTGATGATTATGTTGATGGTACAGATGATGCTGTTGGTGGTGGTGATGATTATGCTGTTCTTGATGATGGTGATGAATATAGTGATGGTGATGGTGACGGTGATGGTGGTGATGATGATCATGTTGGCGTCGAGGATGATGATGACAATGATGACACAGATGTTGCTGCTGACGATGATGATAGCGATGCTGGTGATGCTGATGATAGCGATGGCGATGCTTATGCTGATGATGACGATGATGATGATGATGATGATGATGATGTTAGTGGTGGTGGTGGTGATCATGATGGCGATGATTGTGACGGTGATGTTCATGTTGATGGTGATGGTGACGATGGTGTTGCTGATGGTGATGTTGTTGCTGATGCTGATGCTTATGGTGATGATGCTGATGATGATGATGATGATGATGATGATGATGTTGATGACGATGACGGTGATGGTGGTGGTGACCGTGATGATTGTGATGGTGATGGTGATGGTGATGCTGATGAGACGATGGAGAAGGTGGAGAAGGAGGAGGTGTTGAAAGAGGGGGAGAAAATGAAGATGAGGAGGACGATGAGGAGGACGGGAAGGAGAAGGTGGATGGGTAGGGCAGAAGGGGCTGCAAATGAGGAGGGGAGTAGCAAGGGCAATCGGATGTGAAGGAAGGACGACGACGACGGCGAGGAAAGGGAGGAGAACGAGGAGGAGGAGGGGAAGGACAGGGCGAGGGGGAGGGGGAGGGGGACGAAGGGGAGCAAAAGGAGGTGGGCGCCCCAGCCCAGGCTCGGCCTCGTCGCGTCCCCCTCTGGCCCTTGTTCCACTGCAGTCTTTGCTCGAAAACCGCAGGACCTGCACGTGAAGCCTGACACTCCGCAGGTACCTCTGTTTTCCTCTACGTGCCATCGCCTGCTCTGGCGCACTGCGCGGGCCCCCGTGGAGGCGTTTCGGAAAAAGGCGCGCGGGAAAGTAGGACGACCATTGGCAGCGCCAGGAGGAAGGCCGAGGAGGATGCTCGCAGCCAGGGCAGCGGCAGCAACGCGTTCCCACGGCGCTCCCTCCTGCCACCTCCTTCCCTCCATTCCGTCTTTGTCCCCGAGGCCCTTTTGGTTGCTCGTGGTAGCGCCTGCGAGTTGGAAGGAGGAGGAGGAGGAGGAGGCTATGGAGGAGGCGGAGGAGGAGGACGAGGAGGAGGAAGAGGAGGCGAGCGAGGGAGATAAAGCGGAAAGCGGCGGGACAGGGATAGTGGTGATGGTGACGGTGATGTTGATTATCACGATGATGATGATGTTGATGATGATGCTGATGATGTTGTTGTTGTTGATGTTGATGCTGATGCTGGTTATGATGATGATGCTGATGATGATGATGATGGCGATGATGATGATGATGATGCTGATGCTGATGGTGATGCTGATGATGCTCATGATGATGCTGATGATGATGCTGATGATGGTGATGATGATGATCATCATGATCATGATGATGATGATGAGGATTATCACTTTGCTCATGCTACTGATGATGACGATGCGTATGCGGATGCGGGTGCGGATGCTGCTGTTGGTATGGTGGTTCTGACAATGATGGTGGTGAAGACGATGGTGATGATAGTGGCGATGACGGTGACGACGATGTTGATGCTGCTGGTGGTGCCTGTGGTGATGATGCGGATGATGGTGCAAATGATGATGATGATGATGATGATGATGATGATGATGATGATGATAATGATTCTGATGATGATGATGATGGTGATGGTGATGGTGATGGTGATGATGATGATGATGATGATGATGGTGATGATGATGATGATGATGATGATGATGATGGTGATTGTGAAAATGATGATGAGGATGAGGATTATGATGATGATGATGGTGGTGGTGGTGATGATGATGATGGTGGTGATGATGATGATGAGGAGGAGCTCCTCCCCCTTCTCCTCCTCATTCATTCTGTTTCGCTCACAAATGCTCAGAGCATACCTGACGTGGGTTCGCCAACTGTCTTGCGCTCTTTTTCTGTGGGCGCCCGCACTCACAGTGTGGCATGCCACCAGCCGCCTGGACGCCCGCGCTCCCAGGGGAGATTGCCGCCCACTCGCGCGTCGGCCATGCCTGGCCGCCCCCTCTGTCACACGGATTGCGTCCCCTCGGGTGAGGGCCGATCTCGGCCGTGGCTTGTTGCTGCTCATCTTCCTCCCTCCTCCTGCTCCCCCTCCTCCTCCTCGTCCTAATTGCTGTCCCGTCCTGCTCATGCCCCTCGTCCTCTTCATCCTTGCCCTGCTGCTGCTGACCGCTCGAAGGCACGGGCTCGCGTGGGCTCTCGAAACGCACGCACACGCCGGCCGCCGATGGCCGAAGCGAGACAACGAAAGGGGCTGGGACGGACGAGGGATCGCGACGGATGTTGGGACAGTGATGCTCGCCCTTTCATGTCCTCCGCCCTCGAGATCTGACGTCCAGAACACGACTAGTGTGGAATTGCTTGACCACATGTCTCGACGTCATCTTTCCTCCGTCCTCCTCTTCGCTCACTTCTTCCGTTCTCCGTCCTCCATCCAGCCGTTCCGGCTCAGAACGTTTTCTGAGCTTGCAGCAGCATGCTTCTTCGAAACGGCCAAGTGCTGTTGCGAGCCTTGGTGGCTCACCGCTTCTTGTGAGCTCTTGTCGGAGCATTCTTTCTTGCTCCACCTGAGCACCAGACGCGTCGGTGTGAGGTGGAGCCTTCCATGGATGAAGATGTGGCCAAAGGACCCAAGACGCTTTTCTGGGACTGCCAACAATGTGGGCGTGCATCGAACTGGGCGTGCAGGCTGCGGTGCCGCTGTGGAGTCTCAGCGCCGCAGTACGTGCTGGGCCGTGCCAGGAGTCTCGGCGCTGATGAGCATGGTCCTCCTGCTGGTGGCCGTGGGCAGCCGCGTCTTCCTGGAATTGGCACGCGTAAGGAAGCCAAGCTGGAACAGCAACTGGCGACCTTGCAGAGGCAGATGGATAAGCTGCTCAAGTCTGGAGGCCAGCCCCCTGCAGGGCCCAACCCTGCTGGACAGCCAGCTGCTGGTGGCAACCAGGCGGCCCAGGGTGGCGGCGGCGCATCTGGTGATGAGGCCGACGCCGACCAGCAGCAGGCTAAGGAGCTTGAGGACACCACTCGCTCGTGCAAGGGCGACCTCATGGCTGAAGAGCGGACCTCTTCGGAGAACACGCTCAAGGAGGTACGCGCCAATATGGAAGTCCGCAAATCGTCGCCCACGCGGCACACCAACGTCGGGCACAAGCTGGCGAGAGCGACGAGCAAGCTGGGCAAAATCGTTGAGGATACCGAGGAGCAGGGTAAGCTTTTGGCCGAGATCCAGCAGCGCAAGCAGGAGTTGGCGGACAAGAAGACGGCGACCGAGGCTGAGGTGGCAGCTCTTCAGAAGCAGCTGTACACGTCATTGCCCAAGGACGCCGCTAACCCTTTCCTCGATATACCACTTGACGCGCTTGAAGGAAAGGAGGCGATCAGGAAGATGCTGGAGTCCGAGACCTTCAAGGAGTTTAAGCAGCTGTGGTTGGGGAAGCGTGGCTACACCGAGTCGGCACCTTCCCCAGCGCAAGTACCTGCACCGGAAGATATGGACTTGGACGGCGCCTTCGCCGACGCGAAGGCAGCTGAAGCTTTCTGGGATAAGCAGTAGGGTGACAAACGTGCGGTCTTGGAGGCGCTCAGCCAAGTACTTTTCAAGAAGCCCAAGAAGGGGACTCTTTAACAGTCAGAGCCGACCTCTGGGCACCACGGATGTCGGTGACCATCGTGGACTTCAATCCGTGGCTCTTGATGCAACTTTCTGCCGGCCTGCGGGAGAGCTACCTGATGGAGCGATCCAGTTCTACGGCCAGCCTTTCGGGCTCGATTGGGCGGTGCAGCACTATGTGGGCGCGCGCATCCAGCGGCACCTGCTCGACATGTGGCAGTTTGGCGATGCAAGTTTCGTTGCCGAAGTTCGAGGCGATAGGGCGAGCTTGTCGAGCCCCTTGTCCAAACCTTTTGCCGCGCGCGGGGAGAACAACCATGCCTCGGGTTCGTCGGGCCCCGAGGTTGCCAGGACGTGTCCAGATGGTGCTGGACCTCATCGCGGGTCTGTTCTAAGTTCAGTGAGGCCTGTGACTTTTGCGGTTTCAAGTCTGGGCGATAAGGTTAGGCCCCCAGCGGGGCCTCGTTGCGCACTTCTGCTCGTGGCGCAGGCTTTCCGCCGCAGCCCGCCCCCCCGCGTAGTGATAGTGAAAGCGTTCCTCACCTGCTTGAAAAATACAATGGGAACAGCTGGGGCGCT